TGGACATGATAGGTGGCAATTTCGAATTTGAAATTCAAAGTGGCGGCGGAAGGAGAAAGAGGTCGAAGGGCAGAAGAGAACACCAAGTGGTCGATAGATAATGAACGTCGCAACAATTAAATGGATGGACAAAAATCTACTCTTGGATCGAGTCATTCAGACTTGCCAAGAGTGAGGGGGGACAAGATGATATGGGATACAATACCTAAAAGAATAAATCGGTCGAGCAAGCCGGTCGAATAAACTGAGTAAATCACATGGTCGAGCGAGATCTAAACGGGGTGGTCGTGGTCGAACCTTATATGATTAACAACCTCAGGATAGGACGACAGCCTAAAGGAGATTTCGGTACGAGAAAAGTACATTGAGCCAAAGCTCTCGGATAGCTTGGTCGAAACTCAATGGCAGGGCATATTTGGCCTATACCCTATAACCGTCTCTGACACACCTCCAGTGTGTATTGTACGACCGGGCTGCTCGGGCAATTTGGGTAGCTGACTCAACACTTCCGGGCATCTTTTAGAACAGTTACCTTACCCCTATATATAGGGGTGAGACTTGCGATTTTGGCCATTACGTTCATTATACTCGTCGAGAGTTCATCTTATATACATACTCATTTAAGCATCGAAAGCTCTTTACTGGAAAATTCGTCCGGTGTGAGAGTTTTTGCAGGTACGAGAAGTTCAACCGACGAGGGAGAGCACGAGTAAACCGATTCCCAGCCAGTCGGAGGTTCTACTACGTTACCAAACTTCATTTTATTTGAATATGTATTTTATTTATATTAAAAATAATTTAAATGTTATAAAATTTATTTAAAAATCGTATCGATCCTACCAGTTCGACTAACTAGTAGTGATAGGGTGTTGTTACCTCGGATGGCAATAACTCCCTGATGCAAGAATATCGTTTAAATTTTTAACGAAGACAATTCCTCATATGGTTCTTATTCTTTTTTCTTTTCCCAAAATGATAGATAATATTATAAAACAAAATGCACAAATGTGCGAATACACAGCTGCCAATGGCTGAATACACAACAGTCAACAGCTGAAAAAGTGGGAGGACAGGTCAGAAGACCGCCTAGAAACCCCGCTAGCAATGCTAGAATAAAAATACTCGCAACTAAACTAACACACAACACAAACAACTAAAACAACTAAAAAGATCCCAACTGGGTAATACCCGAGATTCAGATCCCAACATGATTATAAGTTTGACACTCGAGCTCACAGAGGCCAACGGCCCAGACCTAAAACACAAATACTAACACAAAACAACACAAACAGTACAAAACAAAGAACGACGGAAACAAAAAAACACACAAAGCCCTTCCCTAGCAAACGAACTGATCAACCAACAGCGAACGATCGACTCATGAAAGATTCCAAGCCCGAGAAGCCACTACCATGGTCAATCTTTATGGCATGTTGACTTTCTTCAGAAGCAATTAATTTTTAGTCATTTCTAGTTATATGTTGTTGTTTCTTGTGTCACTAACTGAAAAGATTTGAAATTTTAATTGTGGTGAAGATGACTTGCAACAAAACTTAACCAAAAATGTTGTGCACATTGAAGTGTTTAATAGTATATGTATTTTTCATTATTTTTATTTATTTTATTTTCATAATGAGATGAGATGTTAAAAATATATAATAAATATATTTAAAATAAAGTCTTGAATAAAGTGTTAAGTAACAATTATATTTTATTTTGTTCTCATGTGGGAAGATTGTGTATTCTCCTGTGGGGAGTTTTTTATTTTTATTTTTTATCTTGTAGTGTGTGTCGTTTTATCTGGGCTGCCCTGAGTAGTAGGGCTGAGCCGAACCGAACCGAACCGAACTTTAGAGATTTGAAAAACTGGAACTCCGGAACCGAACCGGTTCTCCGTTCTCAGTTCGGAGATTCGGTTCTAATGAGTCGGTTCGGTACGGATCGGAGATTTCGGAGATTTTTTTTATTTTTTATTTTGTTTTTATTTCATTTTTTTAAATTTCCTAATTGCATGTTAGATGGTACATATCATGGATGAAAGAAAATCATAAACCTCTCTTAATTTCAAAAGATATTTCGTCAATTAATAGTAAGAATAAGTTGTTAATTTTTATTTTTATTTTATAAGAAAGTGATAATTTTTTTTAGTTGCAAAATATCACAAATTAATTTAAAAGATTTATATGCTAAATGTTTATATGCCAAAAAAATACGCAAGTGGTAAGATGTACATGAACAATAGTCAATTAAAAAATAGTTACTTGTTAAATAAAAGGATATTTTGATAGTATATTATGTCCAAATAAATCAATCTCTTCCGGTCACGATATCGGGTATAGTACATGTAAAGTTTGTTTTCAAAAAGTAAAAATATTTAATTTTATTAAGTTATAATTAATTTTATTAATAAAATAATCGATATACCTGTTCTTAATCTAATATTATGGTAAAGAATATTTCAATTTAATTTTATTTTAGAATATCACCTTTAAAGAAAAAATTTTCCAAGTTTTGTGAAAGACTTACTTTATAAAGGTCGGTTTCTCAAATATTCGGAATTTAAATTTTATTAAGTTATATTTAATGGTTTTCTTAATAAAATATTTGACCTGTTGGCTATCAAATTTTGTAATTGGAAGAGTATATTAATTTATTTTTATTTTTAATAAATTAATTCGAAAATGAGATCTTAGATTTAATAGTGTCTCATAAGTAGTACCAAAATAAAATAATTAATATTTCAGCTTTTTAAATTTTGTTAACATTCAATAGTGGATGTTTTTTTCGCAACTCAATTTGAAATATAACTTATGATAGTTTTGTGGACATATACATAATGTGTATAGATTTATTTGAATGCAGTTATGTACAAAGATGAAAAAAATACATATGATAATATATATATATATATATGTATATATATGGATTTTATGAATTGGTATCGGTCCTTGTTCAGTTCCTCGGTTCGGTACGGTTATTTTCATTTATGTCTGGTTCGGTTTAGTTCTCGGTAGGGATATTTTATTCGGTACGGATATTTTATGAATCTCCAAAATCGTACCAAAAAAAATTTCGGTACGGTTCGGTTTGGAGATAGTCAAGCGATCAACGACTATTTCTTGGTCCGGGGTAAATTCAGTTTGGTTTTCAGTACAGTTCGATAATCTCCAAGACACGTGCTCAGCCCTACTGAGTAGTCCTCCTATTCCGGGTAGTTAGTCGATTGTAATTATGTGTTTTTTATAGTTAACGAATCTACCGTTTCGAAAAAAAAAAAAAAAGTCATTTGTGCATCGCACAAGTTATACACTGATTATGTCAAATATTATTAACATAAATTAACGTGAAATGATATTTTTGAGTATGTTTTCCACTTATATTTAAAATATATATTTTAGCAATGTAAATGTGTAGAAACGCGTTAATTTGTAACAACAAATGCATAAACCTTATAAGGCCCAGTAAGTGGTATGTCCACTTCCAAAAATATAATATTCATCTCATGAAGTATTATTAATTAACAATAATAAAATTATTTGATAATCTTAAATGCCAAAGCAGTTTGAAACAAATTATTTAATTCCTAAAATAGGAATTAGTATTATTTATTTATATGTAAATTATGAAGTGAGCGATGTAAACTAAATATAGATTAAATAGAATTTATTTGGTATAAAATAATATTTACAATATTCAATTATATATGTCTTTTCACAGAGATTTGAAAAATTTTATGTGAATAAAATAAATACAAAATGGATGTAAATAATGATTCCAAGCATAAAAAAAAAACAAAA